ATATATATATATATATTATATTATAATATGCCTGCATAACAATCTCAAATCCTCAATAGAAAGCATTGGACTCCTGGATGCAATTAAACTCTTTTGTGAAGCACACCTTTTTTATTCTTTCATTTTTTCCCCTCTTCTGAATAAACAATGAGTTTCTCAGTGAGAGGAGCCTGTTGATCTTAGAGCCAGCAAGCTTTATAAAGCTTAACAATGGGATTAATCCACAGACTGAAGCCACAGGAGTCAGTTGGGGGGATGTAATTATGAACAGGCCAGGAGGCATTAGTTCTTACCCTACTTTTAACTTTAAACACAAACTAATTCAAGAAAAAAAGTATGACTGTTGTTATGTAATGCAGACTGCTCATTTGAAAGAGGCAAGGAGATCAATGTAAGCAATAATAAAGAGTTAACTAAAATATATATATATATTTTAGTGCAGAGATTCTTTTTAGAACCTCTGCATTAATGCTATACTTAAGGCTATATATTACATAAAGACTGAAAGAAACATAAAATGTGTTAAACTTTGATGTTTGGTATAAAAGGTTGCTTTTATGGAAGTCTTTACCATAAATCAAAAAGAAATTAACAACATATTATCCCTAAAAACACTTTTTTTCTGTTCCAAATTGGATAAATTTGTCCTGTAAACAAATTCAGTTCAGTTGATTTTTGCTTAACTAGTGCCAAATAGCAACAACAGTCGCCTCATGGTGCTTTATAATGTGAAGTAAAGAACCCACACGAATACAGAGGAAACGGCAAAGATCAGAAGGCCCCCTATAAGTAAGCACTCTGTGACAGTGGGAAGAAAAAACTCCCTTTTAACAGGAAGAAACCTCATCTGCCTTGATCGTTTGGGGAACAGACCCAACGTCAGGTTAAAGAACATCTTCACAGGTAGAAACAGCTGTAAATAATCTTAAATCCCACCTCTAGGTAAAAGCCATGACCAAATCCACTTAATAATTTAACAAGTATTACATCAAAAGGAGATCACAGTATGGAGAGCTGATAGAATGAGGGTGAAGTTTCTGCTAATTTTGTTGGATGCTTTGTTATTGTGAAAAACTGCGGTAATGGTCACTATATGTGCTTGGATGAAAAGATGATGCAGTGGCAGGAGAGGCTGAAAGTCTGAATGCACAACTGGCCGCATTAGAAACAACTGCATATTCTCTTGATAGCACTGGAAATGTAAAGGGATGTAAATTTTGAACATGAAAGTAAAATACCGTGTGAATGAAGGAGTTGGTGAGACGGGCACATTCTTTTATCGAACCATCTTTTCATTTTTTAAAAAAGTGTCTTACTTTCAGTTTTTCACACTCTGTCCCCGCAGCCCACTTTGGGATGTGACGTCAGCGTCACCAACATGACATCTTCAAGTGATCCCTGTGAGCTCATATTTCCAAACTGACTCGGGAAATGACAGAGCGGTTATTCGATGCGTTACTAACGCTGCCCAAACGACATCATCCCAGGTTTGACTTATGAAGGGAATCAAATGGTACGCCTACATAACGGCTTTGTTTGTGCTGCAGTGCTAAAATTAGAAGTTGGAAGTGTGTACTAACCCGGCCAATTAAATAATTTAAATAATTATCGATATCCTTTAACGGGAAAATTACGGGTAAATTCTGTATTTTATGCATATGCAAGAAGGCGAAGCTACAAGTGTTTTTCTTTAAACCAGTTTTTGATACGATTTTTTCTCCGCCCCTCAAACGTCACTTAAAAGTAACTATATAAGAGCAACAGTTAAAATCCCATGATTATTAGTGGTAGTATTTTTTTT